AGACACGCTGCTGAACGTGTTCTTGGCTATCGCTGTGGACAATCTGGCCAATGCGCAGGAGCTGACCAAGGTAAGCATTGCCCTCTGGGCAGCGGATGATTCTTAGTGCCATCGGGTGCCCTCTGGCCTTTGTGGCTCTCTCCAGAAGTCTGCGTTGTCTGGTTCTTTCTGGGAGCTTCTGGATGGTTGGGGAGCCACACACCCACACAGGAAGCCAGTTTCACTTTCATGGAATTTGGTGACCCTGAGACCAGGGTAGGTCTCCCACGAGATACAGAAAATAACAGCTCAATCACTGGCAAAGGGGCCCTTTGAAGGATTATAACATGAAAAATAAAGAAAATACTAAAGCCTTTGGAGCACCTAGCTGTGCAGGGAAGAGGGCCAGTGGGAGGCACAGCCTCAGGGTTTTGCTTCCGGTCACAACATCTGACAGGTGCCGTCAGCTCTGGCCTTTGACCTTTGCAGCTGCAACCAGCCCCACAGAAGGCCAGGGCTTGGGCTCCACTTCCACCCAGATAACCTCGCCTCACTCAGCCTCCTTTTGCCGCTTCCCTCGCTCTCCTCATCCCTCCTGGTCTCCAGGACTCCTCAGGAGAGCCAAGGAGTCACCGCTCCCTCACGGGGGTCCCAGGCATAGCCATGTCTTCTTTGTGTCTAGGATGAGCAGGAGGAAGAGGAGGCCTTCAACCAGAAGCACGCGCTGCAGAAGGCCAAGGAGGTCAGCCCGATGTCCGCGCCCAACATGCCCTCCATCGAGTGAGTCAGCAGCACCCCCATGCCCCCCGCGCCTGGCTGACAGGCGGCTCATCAATCCAAGCGCCATTCGGTGTCGGAGGGCTTCCGCTCCGTGTCAGGAAGTGTCCTCTGAATGCAGCAATGAGCAAGACAGCGTCGCTTGGTTCTCGGGGAACTTATTTCAGGGAGCGAGATCGATAATAAACACACACAGAAGTGATAAACTGCTATAAAGTACAGGAAACAGGGCACGAAGGCAGAGGAACCAGCGCTGGGCAGAGTTCTCAGAAGAGATGCCATTTGAGCAGAGACGTAAATGTGTGCAAAGCGTCATGTGACGTTTGAGGGAAGAGCGCTCCCCAACAAGTGGCTGATGTGGAGGGAACGAGGAGGCACGGAATGAGACCAGGTCGGGGCCGTGGGCAGGAGCCCGCTCAGGGGCGCCCCGGAGGCCCAGGGGAAGGGCTTCAGCTTTTATTCTAACCGCAACCCTGGGTGAGCTTCATGTGGAAGGATGGATATGACGAGAGTTATGCTTTAGAAGGTCACTCTGCTTGGTGGAGAATGGAACTTTGGGGCCGAGAGCAGAGGCAGTTGGCTCTTAAAGTTGGTGAATGGTGCCAGAGCAGGGTGGTGACAGTGGAGGAGGTGAGGAGCAATCCCCCCTCAGTCTCTGTTATGGGGGTGACCTGAAGGGGTGAGCTAACAACGGATTAAATGTGATGGCGGCAGATGAATAGAACAAGAGGAACATCTCCCAGGGGCTAAGGTGTGAGGCCTAAGCAACAGGGCAGGTGGCAGCAGTGTGTGTGATACCGGGGACAATGGAAAGCTGAGGCTCATTTGGCAACTTTAAATTTGAGATACTTACAAGATACCCAAGTGGAGATGTTGAATAGACTGTCAGTTCCATGAATCGGAAGCTTAGACGTCGGGGCTAGAAATAAAGATGTCAGGGGAGCCATTTGCACTGGGGTGGTATTTAGGCCGCCGGCGAGGGTAACCCGGCCCAGGGAGGGCCAGCGTGGAGGAGGGATGAGACGAGGCCAGAGGCCCAGAGCCCGCCGGTGCCTTGAGGTCAGGCAGAGGAGAAACCGCCAAGGAGACTGGCGGGGAGCTGCCGGGAGGTGGGAGACGGGACCGGGGAGAGCGGGAGAAGGGCGCCGCTCAGGAAGGAGGGATGCACGGAGGAGGTGAGCACTTCTGAGGGGTCATGTAAGCTGAGGACGGCAAAGGGACGGTCACGTGTGGCACCATGAAAGCTGCAAGTGACCTTTGCATAAGTAGTTTGGCCCCCGGGAACAGAATCCAACTGAGTGGATTAGGGAGCGAGTGGGAGGTGACGAAGTGGTCAGTGGACAGACCCTTTTCAGGGCCCAGCCTGGACCTGTGGTTGCCGGTGGAGCGGGGGCAGCGGGCGTGGGCCCTGCGTGCGGCCGGCCCCCCTGCGTGCTGCTGGAGGGAGGTGTTGGAGGGGAGGCCAAGACGTGCCCGCAGAGCCGTGGGTTCCTGCTGTTGCTGCTGCGCCTGCATGGGCAGTGTGAGGGGCCCTTGGTGTCTAGGGAGAGGGCCTGAGGTCCCCAGGAAGGGGCCCCAGACCCTGTCACCGACTCCCTGAGGATGGTGAGGGAGGAGCCCTCGTTTGGCCTGTGCTCACGTGAAGGGCTCCTGAGCAAGCACCCTCACCTTGGAGGGGCGTCCAGAGTTAACACAGAGCCCCCACCTCTGGCGTGGCCATCACGCTGCCCTCGCCTTTCAGACCTGGGAAGGTCTGCCCTTGGGCCCCTCCGCTGTGAGTGGGAAAGAAAACTACCCCCCCCCCAAAAATGTTGTTAAAAAATGACAGAGAAAAGCAAAATAATTTCTTCCTCTCCAGAATATTCTCTGGCCCTTGAGTAGTTTCTACCCTGCCTTCCCTGAACTCATGAATTTGGGTTAAAAATACGCACACAGGTATCCACGCATGCCACTGGGTAGGACCGGCTGCCACTCAGCAGTGGGCGGTTCTGTTTGTTGAGATGAGGAAGCCGGGGGAAGAGTGGGTTTGGAGCCGTGAGCTGGGAGAGGGAAGGAAGGAGTGAATGGAGTGCTGGTAGGCAGGGGCTGTAGGGGTTGAGCAATGTATCCAGGCACCACGAGGTGGAGGAAGGCGCCGTGACCGTCCAGGGGGGCCAGGACCACGGAGTCAGCGCAGGAGCTACGTCAGGCGTGTGTGCCCCGCTCGGAGGTGTAAGCTAGAATGCGGCTGTCCCTGGAGAAATGGGAAGAGCGTTGTGACAAACCAGAAGGCCTGTATGCTAGTCACAGTTCTGTCACCCATACGCTCTGTGACCTTGGCGCGGGAACTCCTTTGGGTTTCCCCATTTTTGAAGGGGGTGAAATACTACTAACTGGCCTTTCCTGGTCTACCAGGTGACTGTGGGCTGTGTGTGAGGTCACACGTGTGTATGTTGGAGATACGTGGTCGCTTTTCTGTGTGATTTGAGGAATGAAGGTGTATTAATGATCCTGATGGGGTATGAATGTGGATCTTTTCATGTGTGAATGGAGGAGTAAAGAGGAGTTTGAAGCGTGTCTGATTTGTGTGGGAATTATGAGTGGGTCTGTTTTTTGCCTGGTGTGTGCGTGTGTGTACTCGTGTGTGTATGTGCACATGAGTGTGTGCAGGCATGCGTACGCAAGAGAGAATTCTTCGCGTACTTATACTCTTACACATGCCTTGCCTGCAGTGTTGAAGTCATGAGCATTTGCAGTGGGAGAGGAGAATGCGCTGTCTGCAGTCGGCGTGCATGCTGCCTCTCTGGAGCGTGGGCTCCCATTGCTATGTGCTGCCCATGCCTCTTGGCGCTGCCACCCCAGGCGGGCCTGGCTGCATGGCAGCTGTCGAAGCTGAGGGCTGCATGCCGCTGGGAGCTCGCAGCATCCACAGTGATGCCTGCCTCCGTTCCTCGGGGGCTCGTGTGCGTCGCTCCTCTGCCAGACACCCAAGGGGGACGCAGACCCGCTGCCCCAGTGCCGCCAGTCCCACCGAGTATCAGGCTCTTCTGCAGATACGGGACATGGCCGTTGAGCAGTGCTCGTTTGTCTAGCATGTTCTCCAGGGGTGGGTGTCACTTTTACCAGGAAGGGAGCAGCATTTGCCAACCCCTGGGACCAGGCAGGGTCTGTTGGGCCAGACTAGACCTGTCAGCGCAGGAAGCAGGGGCGGGCTCTCTCCACAGGTGTCTGGGGTGTGTTTCCTCCACCTGAGCACTGACCTGAGCTGAGAGTCTTGTTTGTCCAGGAGCCCGGTCTGCCTTTGCAGGTGATGCCCACCCTGCCACTGGGACCCTCCTTTGTGTGTTTGAGAGGGCACAGCAAGTGTGTGTGTGTGTGTGTGTGTGTGTGTGTGTGTGTGTGTGTGTGTGTAAAGAGATTTTCCCTGCACAAGGTCAAGAAGGTTAATACTGGGCTTCAAGACCTCTGGCCAGGGCCGCTGCGTTGCACAAATGCAGGGCTCACATCCTGGATTATGTGGATGGTGGCCATGGAGAGGTGGTCCTGACTTTGGCCGGGGGCTCCTTTTGTGGCTTCAGTGTCATGCATGGCAGAGCATTTGTTCACCGCATGTTTCGTGAGATTGGAGCGACCCGTTGGGACTCACACCCACATGACTATGGCGTGCTATCCTAGAAATGATTGGAGGAAATAGCGCCCTTCATCCAACTCGACAGCACTTCCGAAATAGTTCTCTGAAGGCTGTTTAGGTGGAAGTGTGAGCACCAAGGGGCGTGATGGTTGAGCATCTGAAGCCATCTACTCAGTGAAATGAATTGGATCCTTTGCGTCTCTGCGTGTATGCTTCAAAATCTAGGCCCACGTGTTTGCACATGGCAAGGAATCAAGTCACTCCCTTGGGGAGTCGAAGGAGAGTCCACAGAGGGCAACGGGCATGTGGAGAATGTACGGGTGCATTGGGGGCTCTGTACCTCTCCCCAGAAATCATCAGGTGGCTGTGGGGCTTGTGGTTGTTCCTAGAGGTTGGGGTGCACTGAACCTGTTCGTTTTTCTTTCCCAGAAGAGACAGAAGGAGAAGACACCACATGTCGATGTGGGAGCCACGCAGCAGCCACCTGTATGTGTGGACCGGTTTGCGTGTTTGTGAGTGGTTATGTGTGGGTGCGGGGACACTGTGTCTTTGCTCTTGCTGTGGACAAAGTGGTGCCGGGTGTGCACATCAGTGGTGTGTGCGGGTGTGTTCTGTGCCTGTGGTTTGTGGATGTGCCCCGCTCTACCTTTTGACACGTGCTTGTGTCAGTGTGTCTAAGGTATGTGACCCTGTGCGTTGTTCGCTCATCCGTGTGGCCCGAGTGGGCATGCGTTGGCATGGGTGTCGCTGTCACATGGGCAGTGATGTACAGCCATGCGTGGGCCTCAGTGAGGGTGTGTGGGGGCACATGTGAGTGTCCCCTGCCCGTTTGTAGCTGTGCACGCGCAGGCACATGTGAGTGAAGGAGTGGGTGACTGCCCTTCTGCTGTGTGAGCCCTCCGCTGTGTGTTCTGTGTGTCCCGTTCGCGTGTCCTGCTGCCATGTGAACGCTCCTCTCGGCCCCCAGCCGGACGCTCCGCAGCGGTTTCGAGGACAAGCTCCTGGTGGTCTTTGCACGCAGTCCTCTGGGGTTTTCGTCACCTGCTGTGGAGAGACCCGCAGCACTCTTTATTTTTTGATGCCAAGACATTCTGTAACACGGGCCTGCTTGTCACTGTTGGCCCCCTCGGATGGTAGCTGATCATTGCACTTCTCTGCCCTTGTAGCCCCAGCCGGTAACCGGAGAGGGAAAGGAGAGGGATAGCAGGTGGAAGGAAGGTCGCTGACCTTGAACTAGGGCCAGAGGTGGGCGCAGCCTAGGGAAAAGTTGATGCCCTGAAAGCAAAGGGGGGCAGGGGCGCGGAGACCTGGGGGCCTCTGGGCTTGGGCCCCACAGGCCCTGGGGACCAGGGACTGGGTCCTGGGCTGACCAGACCCACCCCCCAACCCCGCTCCCGCAGCTGCTGCAGAGCAGGGATTCGAATGGGAAGCCCTGCGAACTGGGAGGCACTGGACCAGCCCCCAACTCCTGGGTGGCCTCCTCTGCTCCTTGCGTCTCTCTGTGCTTTCTGTCTGCAGGTCCTGGGCTCTCCCATTTGCCCCTCTCACCATGTGTCCCACGCTTTTCCCATGGCTGCTGAGGGCTACCCTCTTCGGCCTTCAGCTGTCAGGTCTGACCGTGGCCTTCACCCTTTGCCCTTTGCCAGGAGGGAGCGGAGGCGCCGCCACCACATGTCAGTGTGGGAGCAGCGCACCAGCCAGCTGAGGAGGCACATGCAGATGTCCAGCCAGGAGGCCCTCAACAAAGAAGAGGCCCCGCCCATGAACCCGCTCAACCCCCTCAACCCGCTGAGTCCCCTCAACCCGCTCAACGCCCACCCCAGCCTCTACCGGAGAGCCCGGCCCATCGAGGGCCTGGGCCTGGGCCTGGGCCTGGGCCTGGAGAAGTGCGAGGAGGAGCGCATCAGCCGCGGGGGGTCCCTCAAGGGCGACAGCGGGGACCTCTCCAGTGCCCTGGACAACCAGAGGAGCCCCTTGGCCCTGGGCAAACGCGAGCCGCCGTGGCTGGCCAGGCCCTGCCATGGGAACTGTGACCCGACCCAGCAGGAGGCCGGGGGAGGGGAGACTGTGGTGACCTTCGAGGACCGGGCCAGGCACAGGCAGAGCCAGCGGCGCAGCCGGCACCGCCGAGTCAGGACGGAAGGCAAGGAGCCCTCCTCCGCCTCCCAGAGCCGATCTGCCAGCCAGGAACGGAGTCTGGAGGATGGCGTGCCCACCGAGGGGGACAAGGACCGTGAGCCCAGGGGCAGCCATGGCGGCAAGGAGCCCACGATCCAGGAAGAAGAGAGAGGCCAGGACCTGAGAAGGTAAATGAGCCCCAGGAACACCCTGGAGGCACAGGGCACGCTGGTGTCAGCACCTCTGCAGCATAGGCCCCTCAGGGCCTCATTGTGTAAAGTGGAGGTGGTGCCAGTGCACCCTTTACAAGGCATGTGCCAATAGGACGGGCAGGAGGACCTGTCCCCATGAAAACCAGAGTCTGTTGTAGGGCATCTCTTGTCAAGAGTGGGTCGCGGATGGACAGACAGATGGGAACGAGGCAGGGGGCACTTCCCCCGGGCCTCGATTCCTCTCCCCCGCCTGGAGGGGGCCGCAGATGCCTTGCGCTCCCCAGCCCAGCCCCTTGGGCGCCATTCGCCTCGCTCTGTGGTGAAACAGCTTCTCCTCTGACTTGGCAGGACCAACAGTCTGATGGTGCCCAGAGGCTCCGGGCTGGCGGGGGCCCTTGATGAGGCTGACACACCCCTCGTCCTGCCCCAAGCAGAGCTGGAGGCGGGGACGGCGCCAGCGGAGCGGGAGCCTGAGGGCAGCAGCGAGCAGGCCCTGCTGGGGGACGTGCAGCTGGACGTGGGCCGGGGCATCAGCCAGAGCGAGCCCGACCTGTCCTGCGTCACAGCCAACACGGACAAGGCTGCCACTGAGAGCACCAGCGTCACGGTGGCCATCCCCGACGTGGACCCCTTGGTGGACTCGACTGTGGTGCACAGTGAGGGCATAGTCTCTGTCCCCCACCCCCCCCACTCCCGTGCCACCCAGCCTGGGGTGGAGTCGAGGCTCCGCAGGGACCCCCGTAAAGCGGGGAAACCCCACCAGCAGCGTGAAATCATTCTTCAGCTAGTGAAAAATAGCGACAGTTCTATCTCAATTTGCAGAAAAGATACGTTAGAATTTTCTCAGTCTTATGTTTTGCCCATAAAATGCCCTTAAGGCTTTGGCCTGTGGGCCACCGTAGAGTCTTCAGAAAGATCATGTGTGATTTTGTACCCAGATGCACATTCAGTGATTTGGCTTACATTGTATGAATGTTCAATGGCCTTTTCCAGGACTTCCAAGGTCCTCTGCCACCTGGACAAATTAGGGAACCTCCGATGGGGCGTAGGTGGCAGGAGGGCTCGGTGGCCCTGGCCCTGCTCGGCGTGTGGCCTCCGGAAGCCCTCTGTCCCTCTTCTGGCCTCAGTTTGTCATCTATAAAGTGAGGACACTGATGACCTCTCTCCTAATATTTTATGACTCTATTACTCTTATCTACTATTTTTCTCCTCCAAGATTTTCGTCACTTTCTCTCTAGTTCCCTCGGGCACAGATGGTCATCCAGGAGACCCCTTATTCCTGCCCTAACCCCCCATCTCTGCCCTAACCCCACTCCCATTCCCGAGCTAATCCCCCCCTGCTGCCCGTGGTCACTGGTGGTGACCACAGCATTCCATCCTGGCTTTTTTCCTCCCTGCCTTGTGCCACATTTTCCTCTTTTCATGGGACAGTCTTCTCTCCCTGTGTTTCTGTCACACGCTGTTCCATCTCTGTCCCTTCACCTTCTCTGCATCCATGGTGCCAGCACTGCTCAGACCAGTGACATCTCCTGTGTCCAGTGCTCCTGGGGTTGGTGTGGTCAGGCCTGAGGATCCCAGACTCACAGCCTCTTTTGGGGTCTGTCTAGTTCTGTACTCCGATAAATAAGTGTTCTGAACCCTTTTTGATGAGAAAAAACACTAAGAAAGTTTGACCCTCTCTCTCGTCTCATTCTGGGGCCAGCCCGTGGTCTGGGTCATAGGTAAAAGCATGTAATCAGCGAGCTTTTGGATACTAACTTTATGGAAGGTACCAGAAGGGGCAGAACCTCAGAGCTTTACACAAGATTCCAGAGTAGAGTCATTCACTGAACACATCAGTGAGAGAGGGTAACGGGACCCTTTATCCCACTTGTTAGCCTTGACCCGTCACTGAACCCCACTGTGCCTTGCCTGTACAAACAGCGCGTCCCCAAGAGCTCCACTCAGTCTAGGCCTCCTCACCCTCTCAGTCCTGGAATGCAGTCTTGGACCCATATTCTCATGAATATTGCATCCTCATCTCATTACATTAATCATGACTGGAAAAAGCACAGCCAGAAAGGCGGCCGCAAACAGAGGAATGGTTTCTAAAAATCTTCCACTGCAGTGCGATTTCGCTGAAAGGATACGGGATGTTAGATTGGAAACCCATATCCGCTGTACGACCTTAGGATAGGTACTTGACTTCCCTCAGCTTCACTTTTCCCACCTGTCTATTGGGAACAACTCTACATGCCATTCAGGGGGTGCTGATGTGAAAATTCAGTAAGCGAATAAACACAAAGAATTCAGATTTTAGATATAGCTAAACTTTGTGAATTTTACACCAGAAACCAGCCTTCTGTGACCCAGGGAAAGGCGATGAGAGTGAGCGATGCGCACGGCAAAGGCCATCCCACGTGAAGTTAGGGCGCGCGGAGGGCCGAGAGGAGAGCAAGGGCCGAGCCGGGTGTGACTGCCCCACACCCGGGGTTCGCAGGGCGCGCCGCTGGGCGTTCCTGGAGCCCTCCCCGGCCTCCCCGGCCCATCCCTGGTGGGAGGTGAAGGGCTGCATTCTCGCACGAGGTAAGTACAGTTTCTGAGGATGTCGATGTGCTCCTCTTGCAGTTAGCAACAAGACGGACGGCGAGGCCAGTCCCCTGAAGGAGGCAGAGATCAAAGAGGAGGAGGAGGAGGAGGTGGAGAAGAAGAAGCCGAAGAAAGAGAAGCGGGAGGGCAAAGCCATGGTGCCCCACAGCTCCATGTTCATCTTCAGCACCACCAACCCGTAAGGTCCCGCCCGCCCCGCCTCGGGCTCAGGGTAGACAGGCTGGGTTTGGGCTGGGGTCAGGGGGTGGGGAGACAGCGGGACCAGGGTCCAGTCATCTTCCCGACCCTTCCAGCTGGATACGGCCAGACACATGCCGCATCCAGGGTGTGGTGCTGGGTCATGGAACTGAACACCCTCTGAACCCTGCGTCCACCGTCTTGAGAGTTATTTAAAACAAGGAAGCATGGGAAATGTCACGAGGAAAGGACACATCATCTACTCTTTGGTCAGTAGGTGGTGTGGGGGAAAGGGGAGAGAAGGAAATATGCTCAGAATGTGCTACCAGATCGTCCATAGCTGAGAATAGGGAGCCTAGAATGATGAGATCATCCATTGGCCTCTTAAGAGTATTGGTCCCAGCCCTGGCTGAAGTGGCTCAGTGGGTTGGGCAGCATCCCACAAAGCGCAAAGGTCACTGGTTCAATTCCCAGTCAGGCCACATGCCTGGGGTGCGGGTCAGGTCCCCAGTTCGGGGCATCTGAGAGGTAACCAATAGTTGTTTTGCACACCAGTGTTTCCCTCTCTCTCTTCCTCCTCTCCTTTCTCTCTAAAAATAAGTAAAATCTTTAAAAAACAAAACAGTATTAGTCCCACTGCCTAGTCCAGAATCCATGTGGATTTTGAAATGGACATGTTTAGGGACCTGAGATTGGGTGGCAGAGAAGAGTGGGGAAGGTTAGGGTCAGAAAAGATGGAATTTTGAAAGACAGACGTTCTCCTGCCCTTTAACATAGACCAGCTTGTAAGGCTAGGACGGCAAGAAGAAGGTGGCTTTCAATGGCCACGTGGACAGCGTCCAGCCAGGCTCTGGGAAGGAAAGAGCCCGGGCTAAGGACTGTCAGGCCACCGCAGGTTATGGGATATAGTCATCATAATCAGAATACCTGAATCATGAGAACCTGTTGCTGCTTATCAAGAATGTTAGAATAAAGGTCTATTTTTATGTTTATCAGCTCTTGTGATTTGTTTTACCCTGCCCCAGTGTCTATACAGTGAGGGACAGACACTGAGATACCCGGAGGGCACCCCAGGGCAAGTGGATCCTGATGCCGGCTGCTCCCCAGGGCTCTGAAGAGCCCGCAGATAATGTATCTTGGCTTGTGCACTGCAGCCTCTGGCCGATCTGATTACCTTCCCCCTCGGGGGCTTTAAGTCAAGGGTGGTGCCTGAGAAATTAAATTGCTCTCCCCACGGCTTCCTCCGGCCAGGGCCTGGCCGTCTGGCCGAGGCTGCTGTGCAAGGGGCATGGGGGTGGGCAGGCAGGGCAGGCACAGAGGGAAGCCGCCGGCTCCTCGCTCAGCCGTGCGCCCGCCCGCCCGCCCGCAGGGTCCGCAGGGCCTGCCACTACATCGTGAACCTGCGCTACTTCGAGATGTGCATTCTCCTGGTGATCGCGGCCAGCAGCATCGCCTTGGCAGCCGAGGACCCCGTCCTGACCAACTCGGAACGCAACAGAGTGGGTGCACGGGGCCCTTTGCTACCCTCTGTAGTGCCCTGGCACCTCCCCATCCCAGGAGCAGAGGTGGCCCGAGCAACTTCCAGGGGAGTGAGGAAGGAGTGAGAAATCCCTGGAGCCCAGCAGGGCTTGGAAGGGGGTCTGCAGCCACCTGCGGGCTTGGATGTGGGATCTGACATAACACGTGGGTGTGAAGTTAGGGAGTGTAGCCTGGGGACAGGAGGTCCCAAGGGTGCATGTCAGGAGATAGGAAGGGGGTGGGGTGGGTGGAGTGGGTCAGAACTGACAAGGATTCCAGGTCCTGAGCCAGCAAGGGGGCAAAAGGTTTGCGGGGCAGTAGAGACTCAAGAAGGTAAGTTCCGTCCAAGGTGGGGGACGGGCCAGACTGGCCACCAGGATCCATGGCTCCAGCAGGACCCGTGGCTCCTCTTCCCTGCATCCAACCAGCGGTTACAAACCTAAGCTTTTGTTCTGCAGCAGAAATGAGCGGGGCCGGGGTGGGTGGACAGGACCGCACGCCTCCGTGGGCCAGTGCACGAGCGAGGAGGCTGGCGGACACACTTAGCCCCCGCAGCTCCACCCTATGTGTCTTACAGGTGCTGAGGTATTTCGACTATGTTTTCACTGGCGTGTTCACCTTTGAGATGGTTATTAAGGTAAAAAAAGCCTTTTGAGGAAACCTGGGTGGGGTTTGGATGGGTCAGCTGGGCTGCTCCCCGGGCGTAGTGCCCTTTCCCAACGCTGTCACGGACTGGCCACAGGCTGGCCAATGACAGAGCCCCTCCTCTGGCCTCAGATCCTGTGACATCCATGGTGGCCCACGTGAGTGTGTAGATCCATTCAGACTGGGTGGACCCGTGGGTGTGGCCAGAGGAGGAGCCAGGCCCGCTCTCAGAAGGAGTAGGAGTGCAGACAGGCTTGGGGACAGCAGCCGTGACTCGCCGCCACCCCCCACCCTGCTCCGCCCCAATGTGCGCCCTGGTTTGAGCCTGGGCTTGTGCCAAGGCAAAGGGCTAGGCAGGGTCAGGTTCCTGGATTCTGTCCAGCCCCTGCCGCCTTCACTGCCCGCTAGACTGTTCCCCACCACGCGAGCTCCCACATTTCCCTCTCGTGCCCAGCCTAGCTCCTTGGGACTTTTCCCGCCTGTGTGTATGTGGTGATGCGCGGTGCTCTGAGCCACTATTGGACGGAGGAACGTGGCACAGTTCTGGGATGACCGAGCAGCCTAGTTGAACCCTGGTGGCTACGAGAAGGGGCCTCAGGCTTCACCGTTACATGAAAAGAGCCAGCTGTCTGCTCTTCATATCCCCACACGGGGTTGGTTGTGGGGATGATGCAGTGGGGGCGTTGCCATGGGGACCCAGAGCTCGGGGCACACCTGAGCTCACCCATATCTCCTGGTCTCATCGGTGGCTGTTCCCTTCTTCTGCAGATGATAGACCAGGGCTTGATTCTGCAAGACGGGTCCTACTTCAGAGACCTGTGGAACATCCTAGACTTTGTGGTGGTGGTTGGTGCCCTGGTGGCCTTTGCCTTGGCGTAAGTAACTCTCCTTGCTGTTGGATTACCTGCCCTCCCTCCTTTCTGCAGCCCTGGGCGATTGGAGCCTGTCCCCAGGGCTGGCCTGAGAAACGATCCCTGCAGAGAGGTGCCCGGGAATGCCCCCTGGTGGCCCCTGCAGAGTTCCTGCGGGCCCTCAGCTTCCACTCACGTGTCGAGTGACCGCTGGTGAAGGAGGAGCAGGGAGTGCCACTAGGGAGAAGTCAGAGGCCTGGAGTGTTTTCCGTGGGGATGAGTAAGCAAGGGCAGGTGCCCGCCTGCGTGGGCAGGGCCTCCCCAGGCTCAGGGCGGGACCTGACACGCTCTTTCTTTGCTTGATTCTCTCCGACAAAGGAGCAGCTTGAAGGAAATGTGCAGAGGGTAGAGCAGAGGTCGGCCCAGGGAGGTTCTCAGCTCCTGAGCAGGGGACCCCGGAGCCATGTTAGCGTGTTTAACTGCAGGAGGAAGGGCTTTCCCGGCCACCCTGGATAACACTCTTAGGGACACAGTCTTAGACCCTGTGTCTGGGGACAAACCACACTCCTTATCTTTGGGGAATTGTATTTTTTCAAAAGCCAATCCAGCTGCAGCAGGTTTTCAAACACATCCTGACATTCCCTCTGGAGTCCAGCCTCAGGAAGAGCCCACGCAGCCCTCCTCGGTGTCACTGGGAGACGGTCATGTGGTCAGGGCCTTGTCCCTAGGCCAGTGTGAGTGGCAGCCGCTGGCCTCGGTCTGCACCTTGTTCCTCTCCCGGCGCCACGTCACCCCTTTCAGGTGCCACAGTAGGACCCCCTCCAGCCTCTCTGAGGACGAGGTGGAGCCTGGTGTTCTAAGCCGGGCAGGCTTCACGGAGTGAAGGGTCAGAAGGAAGGCTTTCGGGAGCTGCTGTCATTGACGGCAGCGGCCAAAGGGAAGGACCAAAATTCCTCCCCAGGTGCAACCTTCCCACATCAGTGTCAGGAAGGGCTCACCCGTCCCATCTTCTCCCGGCGTGCTGTCAGCCTCCACCTCTGCCAGTGCCGGCAGAGCCGGGCCTGGGGTGAGGGTAAAGAGGGAACGTCCCTCCCATGGCCGAGGGCGGGCAGCGCTGTCTGCAGAGCAAGGGAAGGTGCCGGCTGTGGGAGCCTCCCAGAGCCCGGGAGTGGCCTGGGTCCGTGGCTGCCCCAGCCCTGGAGGCCCCTCCAAAGAAGAGCTGGTGGGGCGTGGGGCTTGTGACCCTCAGCGGGGCTGGCCGTCAGGACAGTTCCATTTCCCTTGTCCCTAACTGCACCCATGAGTTAGCCCTGTGAGAGTCAGGTGTAATCACCTCGCAGAACGCGAAAGCCTCCTGTTGTGGACTGAGCCCGTGCAGCGGAACTGCGACAAAAGCACGGTATTTCTCAGTGGACCCCTCAGGGACTCTCACAGGAAGGTGAAAATACAGGTGGCCGTGGCTCTGGCTCGGTGAGGGGACGCCCTGCGTCTATTCCTCCTCCTCCTCCCCCTCCTCGGAAAGAAGCGCTGAAGGCTGCCTTTGCCCTCAGGAGGCCCACTTTTTTGTTAGACATAAATAATACCCTTAGGTTTTGAAAAGGTCAAGTTCCCATCTCATTTCAACAGTGCATTTGCATGTCTGCCACATTGTTCTTGTCTCTTGCCTCTATCTCAGTAAATAATGTCTCTCCCTCAAAAAAAAAGTGGAGGAGGAGGGAAGTTTAGAGGAAAGGACCCGACCCCTCCTTGCCCCTCCCTGCCAAGAACACTGCAACGGGCGGGGGCGGGGGCGGGGGCGGGAGGGAGGCTGGGGGCTGCGGAGCCAGGCGCACTGGTTTGCATCCCAGCCCTTCTGTGTCCTGAGCAACAGAGCAAGATAGCAACCCTCTTAACCTCCGTTCTCACCTCTGGAGCGGAGGCAGGCTCATGTGAACCGTGCTTAGCACGTGGCAGGCGCAGCGAGTGATTGACAACTGAACCCCCGTCTTTACCTTTCCATCCTCCCATCGCATCATGAATCTGAATAGTGGAGCAAGGTGCTTGTTGACGCATGACGTACGCAGAGAGCTGAAGGTGAACACAGGCTCAGTTTCGAGACTAGGTGGTGACACGTGCGCGCACACCTGTGCCTGCGCGCCTGGTGACCACGCGGGGGGGTTGGTGCCGTGTGGAGGGAGGTGCATGTCACAAGAAGCCTTGCACGCCGGCCCTGTGGCCACAAGCCCAGCTGTCTCCCCTCGGATCCCAAGCAATGGTGATGGACTGAAGGGTTGTCATCTGTCTCGTTCTTTCTCGTCCCTGTGACATGTGGCCAGGGTGGCTGTGGTGCTGGCGGCAGGGGAAGCCTTAACAGCCCCGGGGCCGAAGCCTCTCTGTGGGTCCTCAGACCAGGCACAGATCAGGGAACCCCAGGAACCCCCGGGTCTGGGGCCCACCCGTGTGGGATGGATTCAGAGCTATGATCCCTCACTCGCTTTTACTGATGTCACTTCTTGGACTTTTTCCTTATTTCTCTCCAAAACGCACATGGTACCTGCTCGTTCCTCTCCATCCACTCTCTCCCGCTACCCTCCTTCCCTCGAGCTCGCCACGCACATGTTCTCCCCCTCCCTCCTGCTAACGGGACAGGCCACACTCTCCCTTTCCCTGGGCTTTGTCACATGCGCTGAGGCCCCGGTGGCACTTTTTCTCACTTGTGTGCTCACGTTTCCCAGCTCTGTCCTCTCCCTCCTCTCGTTAAGGGTACCAGAGAATCGACATTCCCGTGACTTTGCTAGAACTAGCCAGGGTCCCGCCTCCCTGTGTCAGGCTGCAGAACAAACTCTGTGTCCCACTGCGGGGCTGCGTTCAGGGGCCCGGCCCAGCAGGAAGCCAGATGGGGGTTTTCGGCAAGCTTTTCAAGGGCCGCCCCCCACCCCGCCTCATTGTGGTCCCAGCTTTCATTGTCGTAGCTCTTATATTTGCCCCTGGAAATGTCCGCTATTTAGATAACCCAGCTCCTGTCCTGTCTCCTTGAAATGGAACCGTGCCTGACAGAGGCTCCTGCAAAGGCTGTTGCTCCACTTCAGCAGAGCGGAGAGTGGTTGCCATGGTAGCACCTTTCTGTGGCTCCCCAGACATCGGAGGTGACTTGGCATCCCGTCTGCCCTGGCCCCCCAGAGCCTTCTCAGAACCCAGCCCAAGCGTCAAGAGCAGTGCCCCTCAGCCAGGGAAAGGAAGGGCCTCTAGCTGAATCCTCGAAGCAGCCCCGTGGTCCCCTGAGCCCCGCCCTGCCACCGGGCCTGTTTCCCGTGAGCCCGTGCGTGGTTTCTGTGGTGGCTGGAGAGAGGTTCCTCTTCTCTGTAGCTCGTACGTCCCGGGAAGAGATTCTGTGTGATGTAAACCGGACCGATTCCGTTTGGGAGCCTGATGAGTTTGGAGGAGGACGGGGCAGGGGTGTCTAAGTGTGAGCTTACCAGGGGGTCAGGAAATCAGCGGAGAGACACCTGCGTGGCCCTCCCCTGTGCTTCCCGGTCCACGTTTGCCTTCTGAAGCGTTTACGGGAACCCTCAGGTCTTCCTTCCGAAAGCCCCATGCCTGTCTTTAGGAGGCAGGCAGCATTCTGGTAGAGGCTGGGCCTGGCTCCCCTCGTCCCACTGCCACGGCCTCCCACGTTCCGGGCCTCGGGAGACTGTGTCTGCCGGCTCTACACGTCCCCACTGCGCCTTCTGCTCTTTGAGGTTTCAGGCGAAGTCTGGGGAGTGACTGGGTCTGTGAAACCTTCCCTTTTATCTTTCGCCTTCTGGAAATGAGGGATTCTTCCATTTGATCTTTACACAGAAGGACCAGAAACTTTTTCCCCGTTTTCCCATGCTCTGTCCCTGTCACTCGTGCCTCCCAGCCTCCTGGGTGGGGGAGCAGGGCTGGTTCCAGCCTTGGCATTTCTGGGTGCCTGCACATCAGGCCTGTTCTCTCCCTTTGGAACACTGCCCCTGCCCCTGACTCAGGCCTTGTAGGGAGGTCACGTGGCCACCACGCCAGGTTGAGTTTGTGAGCCTTCCAGGATGCTGCCCAGCGATGCAATGCTGTGTAGCCCTCCGGTTTCATATCTTCAGTGTTTAGTGAGGGGCTTTCAGCAGGCAGGCGGGCCGGGGGGTGGGGGGCGCAGCTCGGGGTAGCAGGAGAGGCCTGGGACGCGCGTGTGACCTGTGACCCTCCACTCGCATTGAGGCCCTCAGCCTCTCCACTTCCATTGCTCTGCACACTCCTTGCCCAGCTCAAGTCAGGTTGCCAGGTGAGCTCTCCTGAGTGAGATTCTAAACAGGAAACTCAGTGCTTACAATGGCTTGTCAACACCAATCGTTTAAAGAAAAATAACAATTCTGCTCCCACCTCCTCTGCCCCTTGGGCCCGAGCATCAGTCAGACCCGCACAGGCTGTCTGGCAGCTGACGCCAGGCTTCCCGGCGCTGTGTGCCATCGCAGCGCGCACGAGGGCGGGTCGGGGCCCCTGCCACGCAGAGGGGCTGGCCCTCAGCTGCGCTTGGCCTTTCTTTATTCGGTCCTCGGCCAGGAAGGAAACACATGAGTCGATCTGCCTCTTGATGCCAAAGCAGTCCAGAGTGCCCACATCAGCTTTTGTTACATTCTTTGCATGGCAATATGTCGCTTTCCTGACACTGGGCACAGTGCCCCAAGATGGATACGGTCTTTGGAGCACACAGAAGCAGCCACAGCAGCGGAGCGGGTTCCAGAGTCACTAGGGAAGTACGGGGGCACTGGCAGCCGTGGGCTTGGATGGCCCTTGAGGAGCCGCCGGATATGGCTCTGGTTCTGGCTGAGCCCTGGGGGCTTTGTGTTTGTGAAGGTGTGAATGTGCCCGCCCAAGAACTTGAGCCAGTGCGTCCTCAAGTTCGACAGAGCACAGAAACCACAGAGCCATCTCACCTGACAGTGGCGCAGCCCTGTCTCCGGTTCTTCACCGCCTGCCTGTGTCCTCGGCAGTGCCCTCACGCCTCCAGCCTTGCCTTGGGGCATCTTTCTTGG